TTATAAAACATGTTTCGTTAGTATTTTATAAAATGGGTATTTTGAGGTTTTTTTTATCCAAATACCTTCTCCCCCCAAAAAAGTTTCGATTTATCCAATGTTGGACCCAGTGACGAGACATAAATTGCCCGGAAAAGTTTATTTTATAACATCCTTATTATCTTAAAAATCGTAGTGTAATTTTATATGCTGCTACACAGTGCGCCAGTTTGAGTGTGAATTAGCATTTTGAAGGAATATTTTTTGGAGAACCATTGATGGTATTTGGGTTAAATTCGTTCCTACTTCGAATATAAACGGTGCGATACTACTGTTTCTGGGCAAGAAGTGAGACAGACATTTCGAAAGTATTTCTTTTTTAGCGAATGAAGAATTCAGAAATTATTCCTTTCAAAAACAACTTTTCTTAGCATATGAATTCTTTTATTAAACAGCACTAAATTGCCGAGTTTTGGCTATTTTGAGATCAATTTGTCTACAAAAATTTTTATTAGGTTTGTGAGTTTTTCGGTTTTTTTTTTTTTTTTTTTTTACAAAAACATTTTGGATATGTATATTAAAATAATGGTATGTTAAAATTATATATAAGAACATTCAAATAAAACGTTTTTATATAACCTTGTGGTATTGTAAAGTGAGATTATTTTCCATTTTTTGAACTTGAAAATATTAAATCTGAAAAATAAACAAGATAATAAGTGTTATAAAAACACAATTTCTGAAACACTTAGCAAAAGCAAAAATATTACTGCAGTTATTTTCAAATTAATTTCATTTGTCGTCTTTTATATTTTTTTCATATAAGATTTTTTCCCCCTCTGTAACTTTCTCAGGATATTCAAATTACATCAGTTTCTCTAAAATTCCCTTAACACTTTTCTTCTGTGAATTCCCCCCCAAAAAAAAATCTTCTGGGTTTTGCTCTTAGCAGAATTGGAAAGGATAATTTTTCTTTCGGATGTTAGATCTTGTAAGCTTGAAGGTTTAGAAGGATTTGAAGGCCAGATTTATAGACCTGTGATTCCAGTTTATCTTCCCTTTATTTTTTCCTCTGTCCACTAGACATAAGCAGGGAAAATTTCAAAAATGATTTTAATCTTTTCACATGGACAGGCGTCTGTTGAAACTAATTTTACTATTAATAAAGAAAAAAAGCTGACAATTTAAAAAAAATCTTGTATGCCTCCATCATACACAAGGGAATTTTGTCGCCTGATGCAGTCTCTGGTGCCTGTCCTAAAAATTTTGAGATCCCTAGATTTTATTGCTTTATTAAATTGTACCACACCTGCTTTGGCACCATGTATACCATTTCATATTTATTATCAGTGCTCTTATTATTATTAAAGAAATAAAATTAGTAGCTTCTTCTATACATTCAAAGTACATGCTGTTAGAATAACAAATCTTTGATTAAATTCGAAAATTCTAGAGTGAAGAGGAAACTAACCGAGGAAGAAACTGATTTCATAAAAAGAAAGAAAATTTTTTCTTCACTGTTCTATTTTTGAAATATAATATTAACAACTTAGAAGGTGAAGCAGAGACTCGTGCGGACATTGATTTTTTATTGACACAAATAAATTTAAAAAGATGCTAAAGAGAAAGAATTGATATAAAATTAGCTACTGGAAAATTCTGAAATTTAAGACTCATAAATATTTTGTTGTGTGTTGTTGTTGCTATAAAACATACATCTTTTATAGCTTTTAATGTATAATTATCTTAATATCATTTTAGAATTATGCATTTTTTGCAGCTTATAATGTATAATTATCCTAATATCATTTTAGAATCCTGCATCTTTTATAACTTTTAATGCGTAATTTACCCTAGTATCATTTTAGAATTATGCCCTAAATCAGATTTTCTTAAACTGGTCAGCAGGGGGTCGCCAAAAATTTTAGCAGTTTAATATTTCTTTAACTTATTATAATAATTTTGCAATTACCAAATATTTTTACACAGTGTAACTGAAAATAGATAAAGATAAGACAATATAGACAGAAAAAAACAAAAACGTTTCGAGGCATTCTTTTTATAATATAAACGGTCATTTTACTTGCTTTGCACGTGACGCTGTTATTTATTTAAAATTTTTACATTGTTCTATGGCTTAAAATTAGAAATTAAAGTTAATGACCTAAAACTGCAATAGCATAACACAGTACAAGCGAAAAAAATTGACAGTTTCGCTCACGCGTGTGTCCGATTGCGTAATACTTATGGGGTCCCACAAAATTTTTGTAAATATTATGGGGTCCTGTGGGTCGCGAAAAAATGTCGGTGATAAAAAGGGGTCGCGACTGAAAAAGGTTTAAGAAACCCTGCCCTAAATCATATGCATAATTATCGATTATTTAACTGTGAAATGATTTTTTACAAGTATTTAAAAAAATCAATAGTGACCATGTAAATCTGTAACGATTAAGAATATCTAACTACCTAACTTAATTATTTGTAACTAATTGTTAACCATTAGAAGTTAATCTCTGCATGTTAAGACGAATTATTGCTTTTCATTCATACTTACTGTGGACACCAGATACTATACAAATACATTATATAAAACTTAAATGTAAAATATTATTCCGTAAATCTAGCGAGACAATGCAAAATAACTATCACATCTGGTACTTTAGTAACTTATTAGAACGTTGCGTATATTAACTACAACTATTGCGGTATATTAACAGCTGCTTTGTACTTAGCTACGACACTAATTGGTTCAGACAAACAAAACATAACTATTTTTGAACACTTACTGTGTAAACAACGTCAGACGTTCGTGTTTGTTCTGATCAACGGGTCTTTCTCTCTCTGGTAAGCAGCAAAGGGTGGTAACAGACGTATCATAGTGATTATGATTTTACTTGTATTAACCTGTGCCGCTTGGCTTAAAAATCTGCCTGTTTACTGAACTTTTGGACTGAGCGAGTACATGACGAAATGAGGCATAAAAGAAAGAATCAACTTCACTATTAATAAAATATCTCTAATCTTCTTTAAAATATGTGCGGTTGTTCTAAGTATGAAATAAAAATGTTTCTGGAATTTTTTTAATTTAATGCTAATTACAAGTTTTACGAAGTTGTTTTATTCTCGAGTTTGTTTTAACAATCTTTCTTGCAGATCTGTTTTATTTTTAGAATAGTACTTCAAAAATAAAGTTCCGGCATACATAATTGCTTCAATTTAGTCATTTCTCATTTGCTGATTTAATTTTTTTCATTCATGGTCCTTAAAAGTACTTAATTTACATGGGCAGAAATGTGTACGAACCTTGCGTAATGTTTATTGGCCATTTCTAGCGTTTTTACTGTTATGATATTTTTTATAATGATAGTTGTCTCTAGCCCATCATTTGCGGGCAAAATCCTTTCATGAGAGGGGGGGAAGTAGGCAAACATGATATAGTGTCATTTGCTCTCAATCCAGAGCTATTTGAGCGAGTTTGTAACTTATTGTTATTCTTGCTGTGTTCATGATTTGAAAGCAGTCTGGTCAAAGAACTTGAATAGGAATGAATTCAAGTTCTGACTCTTTTTTTTTTAATAGTGAATAAATTTAATTTTAGTTTGTATTAATATAACAGTTGATCAGTGTATAGCCTGCTTAACCGTAATAGAATGGAATACAAATATTTTACTTTAAGTCCCGGTTATTCAGATTATTATTCTAATTATCCCATTTTCACGGAATGTTAAAAGACACTAAAGACTATTTTGTTATTATTAATATGTTGAATTTATAGGAATGAACTCTTTAAATTGAGTTCCTGAGATGCCGGTGGTGGAACGGCAAATAAACTAAATACTGGGTAGTTTTTTTACCTGGCTGCGTGGGCGTTTTCATGGTTTTCCCATGTGTAACGTTGTCGTAAGCAATTTTGCCTTAGAAAGGTATCACTTCTCTTAAGCCAGTGGTCCTCAACTTTTTTTTTGTCCCATGCACCCCTTTTACCGTTGCTAGAAAGTCATTACCCCCTTCTTTTCAAAACTTGAAAAATACTTACATATATTTAATTTAGATTATTTTCTAATATGTCTTATAAATTGAATTTTCTAATATGTTTTATAAACTGAACAAAAAAGGATAATAAATGTTGGTTAATACCAGAACTTGAATAAAAGTAGTTTGTTGTACTCATAAACTAAAAGTCACTACTTAACAGCTAAATAAAAGGCCGTTCGCATTCACCCCCCCGAAATGGTGAAATTTCCTCCTGGTTGAGAACCTCTGTCTTAGGCAGATAGCTGTCGTGGGCTTAAAATATTATCTTCGATAATCAAATAAACCAAACCAAACGTAAGCCGCCGAAAATATTAGAGCCATAGAGAAAAGATTTCAAAGATGACTGCTTTAGTTCAGCATGGGAGGGAAATCGAGTACTTTGCGCAACTGTGCTTTCAATGCCGAAAATTTGACATTCATGCGAACTCCAGATTTTCCATCTATTTTGCATTCTTTGGTATGCTTTCATCTATTGGACATCCCGATCGTGCACACCTTTCAGTTATTTAAGTTTAGTTATTAGTTTAGTCATTTCATTATTAAGTTCAGTTATTTTAGTTTAATATGTTAGTTTTTTAAGTACTTTCAGTTATTTAAATTTTTTTATCTATTTCTTAACTTGAGGAAGGCGTAGATTGCATGGGTCATGCACCTGTTGCATTTATTGCTGAGTTGCCGAGGGCTCAGCCCTTTCTGCAAATATGAACTAAATTATACCATGTTGCTCAGTTTTAATGTTTCGATGGCACTATTTCCACCATACTACTTAGTGAATGTAACTATGAATGTTTACTTTATGCAAAAGTGTATTTGTTGTGCACTGCGAAATTATCATGCAAATTTTTATCTTCGCGCAGAGTTCATAATCTGGTTATTTATAATGGCTGGTTATTTACTGATCCACTGGTAAATTTTGTATGCACATGTACATTTTTATATGCAGATATTATCTCGGTTTTAATTTACTTTATTTTACACTTGTCCAGGTTCTTATCACGACCAATGTGTGCGCACGTGGCATTGATGTGGAGCAGGTGACAGTTGTAATTAATTACGATCTGCCAGTCCTAGTGGATCGGGAAACTGATTTTGAAACATACGTGCATCGTATTGGGCGCACTGGCCGCTTTGGGAAACCGGGAATTGCTATCAACATGGTTTCTAATGAAAGGGATTCCGAAATAATTAAAGAAATCCAAAACCATTTTGAGAAACCCATCAAAGAAGTTAAAGCAGATGATGCCAACGATTTGGAAGAAATGGGCTGTTAATGCAGAAGTGGTTCCTGTTTGGCATACTTCCCCATAGTAATAAAACGTGTATTGTTTCAAAAATAAATAATTTAAAGGAATATTAGTTTATATGAATGAATAATCGATTATAAGTAATTAATGCACCTTTGTTTGTGAAATTCAACACCACGAAGAAATCATGCAATTAAATTGAACCTTGCAGGAAATGCAAAGCACACTTATGATATCCAAATGATTAGAATTTCTGAGTTATATCGTACCCTGTGAAATGTCGCGTTAGCAGCACAAATAGAATGCTTTAACGAGATGTTAAAACAGTATATCATTGTCAATAACTCGTAATGCTTGTATGAAAGGGATAAGCTCAAGAGAACCGGAAAAATGGTAGAACTACTAGTGGACTCTGAATTGTTATGTTAGCTTGAGATCATAGTTATTTCATCTGCACGATTCATCTCGACAGTTAGCACAAACGTTGAAGCACTGCTACAGGTGTACCATTGTAATTCCGCTTCAGTTTGGAGTATTAGCGATGGTTGAGTATGTATTAGACGCTATAGTGTGAACGCCATTTCTCGGATTACATTTATCGAGCATCATCTTGAGCCATTGTCTGGAGTACATTATTCAGACTCATACTTAGGAAAAAGCCATGTTTTGCCAGTCTATAATGGTGTAGGCTTCATTGGGTAAGATGGGGTCTCTTTTGCTAAGAATATAAGGTACGTTCACCATCAAACGCTACATCTGAGGTTATCAAGTCCGAAACAATTTCCAATGCGAAGGTTGTCAAAACCCAATTGCTGCCTTTTTTCGCTAGAAATAGCCACCTGTCCGCGAAAAACGGGATTTTGCTCTATAAATCAATGATAAGGCCAATTCTGACATATGCTAGCCCGGTTTGGGGCGCAGCAACAATTACTAACAAGAAACATATCCAAATTTTCCAGAACATTATGCTACGGCAAATTTATAAAGCTCTTGGTTGTTAGAACAAGGACATTCATAATGCAGCCAAAATTCTCCCCATAAATCGCTTTATACAGCGACTTTCGGCTAACTTTTTCCAAAAGATTCCTTCGATCGGAAACCCCGTACTCCAAAGCCTTCCTGTTTATCATCCGAGAATTGCATCATTCAAGAAAGAGACCCAGAGCTATTCTGGAGAACGCAAATAATGCGCTTCCTTTTCCCAAGAGGCGCCTCCAAGGTTTTAATACACTCGTTCGCTTGGCCCCCGCCCCTCGCCTGAGTGAATCATGGAGGTAGGAAGTAACCTCCTACCTCCATGGAGTGAATTCGCTGATCTTTCAGCTTCCCTCAGGGTCAGTCTCTCTTTGTCCCGTAAGCGGGCAATCTTACTTCTTTCAACCGTAAGCGGTTGTTATCAGGCTCTAAGCACATCTTTGTGTTCCCTTCTTAAAAGGGTTCTAGTGCAAGGATTACTTGATTTAAATTTAATCTCTTTAAGAGAACTTAATGCTTTTTCAATAGTTATCGTAACACTTAAAGTTAATGCAATCTTATTATATTTATAAGAGTTTCTCCTCAGAGGTATTGCTGGCCGTGTCTCTTTCATTAAAACTCGCCTAACGAGTTTCCGCTTCCTCCCACAGACCTGAGGCACTTGCGACATAAAGATTTTCGCGAAAGTTTCCGCTTTTGTGTTGTTAACACCACATGACCATTGATCAAGGAAACATTGATGTTTTTCAAAATTCATGATGTAAACCCTCCAAATTGATTCTGACCCTTATTCAACACCAAAATTACTAAATTAATTAAGTCCTTCAGTGTTTTTTACCTTTTTTCACTGTGGAAGGCAGTTACTCTTTTTGTTAAATTAACATTTTGGCACTAAATTTACCTCTTTGCGGAACCCTCTTTTTGGCGATGAAGATAATTCTTTGACGATGTGGGGATAAAGGCTACGTGCCTAAGAGCCCCGTAATAGAACCCTTCCTTGGTCCTTGGTCAAGTCCGAAGTCTTATCCAGTTCAGGTTGTGGAACCGAAAATTCATTCAACGCATACCCTAGAGAGATGTATTGCAACAGGTGTCCGCACACATGTTGCTAGAAATGTTCCAGACTTTTCACTATGTTAGATATCGCTTTTCCCTTCATCTGACTATTCACCATATTTATGGCATGTGGAATATGTCAGGGATTTCGAGAGCTAACAGCTTTCTCCTTCCTCTGCTATGCTGCCTCAACGTGGCGTGTGGATGTCATTGGACGGAATGGACGAAGTACGCTGGAAGCATAGTTTTTGGTAGGACTATTCTAGGCGTGAAGACTGTTTCAATATGCACAGCTAACACGCAGCAGGTGAAAACAATGTTGTTTTTGTAGCGACTTATTTCTGTTGTCTGACAGTAACATCAGAAGAAGGCCACGTAATTCATCATGGCAGGGAGTGCAAAATTTCGCCTGTGGTTGGCAAAAGCCTTGAACACCATACAGGTGACAGACAATACAACTTTGCTGAATTTCTCCCGTAATTTTGAAGGAGAGCACTCCGGAGTACGGTTCCAAGAGTCTCTCACCTCTCTTCCCCTACCATCAAACTCTTGAGACTAATTTCATCCTGCCGCTTATTTAGAGTTTCTCCATGCCGCATGGACTCGGTACATTTACACGCACCATACCTTCTCCGGGGTTCGAACCTGGGCCCTTCCGTACGGCAGTTAGCGTTGCTAACTACTATCGCAATTGGGTGGCAGCGAAGATTCTGCAAGGATATACCTTCTGGGTTATCAGATGTCACAATCTCGGAGTCCCAGTGACCTTTCCTCTTCTCTTTCACTTCTTCCTTTTGTTTCCTATTATTAACAATGGGGCTGTGATAAGGTTACATAAAAGAAGAAGAAACTGAAGATTTATATGGACAAGGATGTCTCGTGAGCATAAGCTGAAAATTATTATTTTTTTTAACTTACAAATACGTTTTCAATAGTTGTTAAAATAGTCTTTATTAAATAATTAAATCTTTGGCAGTGTTAAAAATGCAAGCTCGAAAGCCACGAATTGTCGCACGAAAAATGTATAGAAATTTGATTTTTGAGTTAGATAGGTTTTCTCTGCAACTTGTATGTAGCCTTTTTTTTTTTTTTTTTCGTTCAATAAAATTTTTATTCTGTGTTTTGTTTTGAACCTGATGTCACAACCCAGTTTTGCCTAGCGGTTTCGGCCACTACACCACATCAGTAAATATTAAAAAATTGATGGCAGCTTTTAGGGATTGTTCCTGAAAGTAAATTTAGGAATGGACTTTTTCGCCTGTGAACTTGAGTTTTATGTGAGCAGTCAAGACTTTCTCTGCACAAGAATTATCTAATTTTGTGTGCAAGGACAGTTCGCGTGGTGAAGCCTCTTCAATGACATGTGTCAGTGAAAAGTGACAATGTGTCAGAAGGGAACGCTGGAGGAAGCGTGATCTAGTGCCACAAAATAGAGAAATTTCTTGGAAGAGTATCCAAGTCAGTGCCAGGAGAGTCAATCGAAGGCGTCTTCAAAATTGGTGAGTACCATTTTTTGTGATTTGGAGAGGTTATGCCAGTTATTTGAGACTAGGCTTTATTTTGGATATAGCTCTGTTTTTGGGGATCAAAAGTTGCCTCTTAATTAGCATTTTTTTATACGCTTTGTTTGTAGGCATAGGTATTATCATTAAGTGTTGTAAGGCAAATTTTTTGTTCAGAATTGTTAGGGAATTAATTCAAGTTTTGAAGAGAATAGACATGTTGTTTTTGTGTTATTGTTTTTCTGGGTAGGTTATTTCTCTTTAATTTTCCATAATGGGTGAGTTTATGAGGAAATTTACTAAAGGCTCTGCTATTGGAGTTAGCGGAGGAGTTTGAAACAAATGTGTCTCGGGCAAATAGAGTAGGAGAAATTAGGCAGGCTATTCTAAATGCCGAGGACTATGAAGAAGAAGCTGCGAAAGAATACGCGGCAAGAATTTGGGGTGCGGCTGAGCAGAGAAAAGCAGAAGAAAAAGCCGAGCAAGAGAGAGCAGAGCGGGAACGTGAACAAGAGAGAGCAGAGCGGGAACGTGAACAAGGGAGAGCAGAGCGGGAACGTGAAAAAGAGAGAGCAGAACGGGAACGTGAACAAGAGAGCGGAACGGGAACGGGAGCGAGTTTTTGAATTGGAAAGGTTAAAACTGATGAATGTGGTTCAGACTAATAGCCTAGCTTCCACGGTTTCGAAAGTTGAACAATCTAGAGAAAAAAAGGGTTAATTTGAAAGATCTAGTACCGCGTTTTGAACCGAGTAATATAGATATTTCATTATTCTTTATGCTATTTGAGAAACAAGCTCAAAAAGAGAACGTTAATGAGATTGATTGGGTCTCGCAATTAATTCCTTTATTACCTTACGATGTAGCCCAGTTAATAGTGAAAGAACCAGCGGATAAAGGGGATGATTATCAGCATGTAAGAAATTACTCATGCAGAGATTCAAAGCTTAGTTCTTGGGCACTAAAAACAAAATTTGAAAAACATTCTAGAAGAAACGGAATGTTATGTGTGGATTTATTGTATGAATTGAGAGTGTATTTAGAGAATTGGTTGGATTCAGTAGAAGTTCAAGATTTTGAAAGTCTTAAGGAACTTATGCTCACTGAGCAAATTAAGCGGCGAGTCCCTCTAGAAATAAGAGAGCACTACTTAGACAATTGGGAAGAATTTAAAACAGCTTCCATTTTAGCAGAGAAATGCGACAAGTATGAGGCTTTGCGAAGAGATACGAGGAAGTTAGAACAGAGAGCGGGGTTAAAGAAACCATTTGAGAATGATAGAGAGCGGTATATAAATTCTAACTGTAGTTATAATCAGAAAAGTAGTGGTCATCAAAGAATTAAATCAGAGGAGCATAGAAAAGTGGAGGCTCCTAAAAAAAAGCAAGTTTTCAATGAAGCAGGTTTCGAGAAACAGCGGAAAATAAGGTGTTACCAATGTGGAAAGGACGGACATATCCGACCTAACTGTTCCATCGCTGGAAAAGAATAAGGCTATCTGGTGAATAATCTAGGAACGGAGAGTTTAGGAAAATGTTTTGAGCCGTATTTCAAGAAAGCAGTAATTAATGGGATA